ATAATCACAGTGATAGTATGTACACTCAGTACTGTGTCTGTACCCTCGATAAGTACGGTGTAATGAGAATGGCACTTTGCCTCTATGGTCTTCCTCCCAATAAGCCATAACCCCAACCTTACTATGACAAAAATACCAGAGAAATCCCAAATGGGGAGCTTTATACAAAGTACCTAAACTCAAAGTAATCCTCAAGACTACTAAAATCAATGAACACGAGGTAAGTCTACAAAACTGTCACAGCCTAAAGAAGACTAAGGAGACACAATGGCTACATGTAAAGTGATATCCTAATGAATCCTGCAACAGACAGAGGACTTCAGGTAAAAACTAAACAAATCTGAATAAAATACAGACTTTAGTTAATAATAATGTATCAGTGTTGGCTCACCAGCTGGGACAAATGTACTATACTAGTGTAAGATGTTAATTAAGGAAACTGAATATGGGGTATCTTCCAACTTTTCTATAAATTTGAAACTATTCTAAAACACATTTATTTTTTAAAAAGGTAGAGTTAGAGATGTGGCAATGAAAGCAACAGCAATCAAAGGCTCTCTATGTAAACTTTGCAGGAAAAACTGAGAGGTGAATCCACTATTGGTAATATTGTTTCTATAAGTGTATGTTCCTGAATTTCAAACAACCAAGTTATCTAATTCTTGGAATACAATCTGTTTGTAAATTAGGCTGTGTGTATTTGAGAACAAGGCAGGTAATACTCGACCCCTAGAATATCTTGACTGCCTTTTGTCACCAAGGATGTCTCAAATTCAAACATTCTAAACAGAAATATAACAAACTTTTTGGCTGGAAAATATTTTCTATCATAAACTCCAGCAAGTCAGTTAATTCATTGACCAATTTTTCATCAGGACAGGACAATTAAATCATTTTCCATATCTTCTATGTTCATTTTGCTATCACTGAAACCATCTTCATCAGGAATATTTTCCATTTAAATATTTTACTGACAATTTTATTTGTCAATCTGTTTTGTCCATATTAAATATTCCCAATTATAGCTACTTCCATTGTAAATTTATTTTCATAGCCATTATTTCTAGCAAGCCAGCTTTCACTTTTATTTCATACTTTAAAAAGTTAAATTAGCAATGTTCCCTCTAATTATTATCCATTTTATATTAAAATTAAATTTTATTTTGATTATTGTCCATTATTTCAACATCATCATTAAGACTCAGACAAAAGGCTAATGGTTGTATTTATTTCTTAGGTAATCCATGAGAAAATAGTGGATTTTATAAGACAGAGATACAGACTGATGAAATAGTGGCAGTGTCAGCCAGCAGCAGAGAAAGAGGCATAGGTCTGATTGCTTATAGACCAGGTCAAACTTCCTTGGAGCCAAACTACTATAAATATACCCTCTGGGTCATCCAGAATTGTACAAATGGCTGAGTCCAACGTCCTACATCAGTGTATATATGTATATGCGTTTGGTGCATTAGTTAGGAAGAAGGCAAAATAAAAATGGAAAAGTATTGAGAGGAGAATCAATAGATTATAATGATTAAGAAGAGCTTGGGCTCTAATATCAAATTGTCGAGGTTCAAATCCCAGCACCACCACTTAACTCACTGCATAACCTGGGAAAGTTAATTGTCCATGCCACAATTTTTCAACCTGTTAAATGGGGGAAATGTTGAGATCACAACAGGGTTGAGGATTCAATGAGACAACTCATGTAAAACATTGAGTACAAAGCTTGGCACATCCTAAATTCTCAGCAAATGTCAGTGTATATGTGTGCAAACATGTGATTGTGAATTTGTCTTACAAACTATGTCTTGATAAATCAATAGTATACATGTACTCTTCCATTGAACATACTGCAAACTATGGGAGTTAGCCCTAAAGCTGATTTTTTAAAATCCCACTGCTTATGTGTAGTACATTTCTTTCTTATATTTGTAATGCTGCCCAAAATTGATCTTCACATACCACAAGACCACCATATGCACAAAAAGTATAATTATATTGTTAAAATCAAGAGAAACACATTATATATTAACAGAAAAACACTGCATAATGGAAAAGTACAGGTTTTAGAATCTGAAAGATGCAGGATCAAATTCCATTTGTCAACTAAGGACTTGTCCAACTTAGTGAACCTCTCCATTTCTGCTTTCTCATTGTGAAAACAGCAGTGAGACATAAATCTCACAAAATTGTAATGAGGATTAAGTAAAGAATAGTAAGATGCTCAGCACATGGAACATACCCCATAAATGTCACCTACACACACACACATGCATGCACTCCTTAACTACTGCCATTTCTATCCAAATGACTAAATATTTTGTCAGATGGTCTCTGCCACCATTTTCATATTCCATTGCTTCCAACGACTTACTGCAGTTTTCAATCCACAATACCAGACCATTGGGTGTACCCAAAGGCTTTCTATAGGGTACAAGGCCATGGATAATTTTAAGCAAATCGATTTCCAGATCTTCAACTTTCACATGTATTCTTTCCTGACAAGGGCCTGAGAAAGCACCTGTGCTCTGAGGTGGTTCTCCTTTCCTACCTTTCTTTTCACATCTATCTTTGAAAGGAAGGCCCACTGAATTACAAAAAGCATACTCTTGCCCTTCTTTGATCTGACCTTGTGCATCACCCTAAAGTGTAAAAACCTCTAGTGTACCAAAATAGAGTACACATCCTTTAATCAATGTTCCATAAATACCCCCAGATTTCTCCTTAAGGAATAAATTTCCGATACAAACTTTCCTTTTAAATTGAATAATGTTTATCATATCTTTAAATGTATTTTTAACTTCCTGATAGTGTTCCAATAATAATCACAATAGCAACTCACGCCAGAAGTGAAAAAAAAATAATAGAGCTTTATGGCCAAAGGAAATCAAGAAAATATATCTAAATGTATATGTGTATATATACACACATACATACTATACATACAAATTACCAAAAAGCTTGATAGGGTGATCGGTAAGAAAGTCTCAAACATAACAATGGGATAAAATTCTGTGGGGGAAGTAGAACGGAAATCAAACTCAAAAGAGGAAAGGTATGATGTAAAATTTCCCGACTTTAAAAAGCTTTAATTTAAAATGGATAAAAGACCTCAATGTGAGACAGGAATCCATCAGAATCCTAGAGGAGAACATAGGCAGTAACCTCTTCGAAATCAGCCACAGCAACTTCTTTAAAGATATGTCTCCAAAGGCAAAGGAAACAAAAGCGAAGATGAACTTTTGGGACTTCATCAAGAGCAAAAGCTTCTGCAAAGCAAAGGAAATAGTCAACAAAACAAAGAGGCAACCCACGGAATGGGAGAAGATATTTGCAAATGACAGTACAGACAAAAGGTTGATATCCAGGATCTATAAAGAATTCCTCAAACTCAAGACACACAAAACAGACAATCATATCAAAAAATGGGCAGAAGATATGAACAGACACTTCTCCAATGAAGACATACAAATGGCTATCAGACACATGAAAAAATGTTCGTCATGACTAGCCATCAGGGAGATTCAAATTAAAACCACATTGAGATACCACCTTACACCAGTTAGAATGGCCAAAATTAACAAGACAGGAAACAACATGTGTTGGAGAGAATACGAGAAAGGGGAACCCTCTTACACTGTTGGTGGGGATGCAAGTTGGTGCAGCCACTTTGGAGAACAGTGTGGAGATTCCTCAAGAAATTAAAAATAGAGCTTCCCTATGACCCCGCAATTGCACTACTGGGTATTTACCCCAAAGATACAGATGTAGTGAAAAGAAGGGCCACCTGTACTCCAATGTTTATAGCAGCAATGGCCACGATCACCAAACTGTGTAAAGAACCAAGATGCCCTTAAACGGACGAATGAATAAGGAAGATGTGGTCCATATACACTATGGAGTATTATGCCTCCATCAGAAAGGATGAATACCCAACTTTTGCAGCAACATGGACGGGACTGGAAGAGATTATGCTGAGTGAAATAAGTCAAGCAGAGAGAGTCAATTATCATATGGTTTCACTTATTTGTGGAGCATAACAAATAGCATGGAGGACTAGGGGAGATGGAGAGGAGAAGGGAGTTGAGGGAAATTGTAAGGGGAGGTGAGCCATGAGAGACTATGGACTCTGAAAAACAATCTGAGGATTTTGAAGGGGCAGGGGGGTGGGAGGTTGGGGGAACCAGGTGGTGGGTATTAGAGAGGGCACGGATTATATGGAGCACTGGGTGTGGTTCAAAAACAATGAATACTGTTACGCTGAAAAGAAATTTAAAAATAATAATAATAATAATAATAAAAGCTTTAATTTAAATGAATAACGGTAAATAGTAAATCACCGCCATACTTATGTTCCATTGAATAAATGTGAGTGACTTAACATTTAGAAATAACAATAGTAAAAATAAGCCAGACATTATATGCTTTGCAACTATTTAAATTTAGGATGAAACAAAAATTAGATAACTTAATTTTTTTAGGAGCTGCATTGGCGGGGCGAGGTAAGGAGTGTAATCTCTCTGGCAACGTGAACCATCAAACATCAGTTAAGTGTCCTTTCTGAAACTCAGGTCAGCCCAGTAGTTTTAGTGGCATCAAACGAGGACCACTAGCTCAAAGGCCCTTTCTTCCTCTCCCACCCAATCTTGTTCTTTCCCTCTCTGCCCGCCAGGCCCCGACCGCACACCCCTTCACCCAGCGGGCTCGGAACGCCCAGCGGTCGCTTTTCTCCCTCCCCTCACACCCCACTCCGCCCCCGCCCCCCGCGTTCTCCACTCTCCTACCCCGCCCACCCCGGCTCTACCGCGCAGGCGCGCTTCGCTTTCTTGGCCTCCCGCGCCTGCTGTGTCATGGCAGAGCGGAAGTCCCGGCCACAGCAAGTTGGGGAGCGAGTTGGGGCGGGGGGTTCGTTAAGATGGGTGGCGCTTCTAGTAGCTTTCTCCCCGTCCTCCCCTAACGCTTCCTTGATCTCCCACTGTAGGGGGGCGGTCCCCTACCCTGCACTCTCCCGAACACTTCGTAGTCCACGGTTTTGAGTCGCCCTGCGGCAGACATGGCGGCGGCGGTAGCAAGTTCTCTGCCGAAGAGCCGGAGCGGGATTCGGGACGCGGCGACTGAGGCAGCCAGGAGAGGGAGGGGGCACATGGGATCTCTCGGCGCACCCCGCGCCTGTCACCGGCTCAGGACGCTAGCGCGCCGGGGTCACGCGTTGGAAGGCGGCAAATGAACGGCGGGTGCCGGGAACGGGGGCAGCTAAGGACACTAGAGGGAAAGAGCGCTCAGCCACCGGCGGAGAAGCCTTCTTCCTTGTCCTGCCCTCCCTTGTGGAACCAGACTGGCTTCCCTGGGAGGGATGCGCCGCTTTCGCACTCCCTGCGATTCAGTTAACCTCGGGGCTCATTTCTCGGTGTTAAGTAAATAAAAGCCGGATTTCGTGCCCAGATGTCAAGTTTGGTAACCAAACGTGATTGCTTTTGAAATGAGAGATCTGCTAGCTTGGTGGTTGAGGGTACTTGGTTAGTGAGTTGATTTTTATGAAACGTTTAGGCGACTGCCAAGTCTATTTGGCGATTTTGAGCCAATTCTTGTCCGCATCCTCTTCACCTCAGTGTTGAATCAGAAAGGTTTGGGGCCTGAATCCATATTCTTTGTAGACTGTGATATTTTCAAGGACGAAACTTAAAAAAATCTAACCTGTTCTATCCTAGTTGGAACGGGGAGGAAAGCAATCGTCTTGTCTGCTATTGACTTACATAGCTTTTTTATGGTCTTGATTGTTCAGTAACATCCCAGTTGCCTACAAGGTTAAGGCACTTTGTACTTAGAGAATTTTGCTTCATGGTGAACTGTTATGAAGTCTTAATTGAAAGCAGCCCACCACTCCAAAGAATCTGGATACAGCTATTGATAAGCTGCTGTCTTCTAGAATTCCGAATCTTTCTACTTGTGAGAATTTGCATTTCTCAACATATTTGTTGGCTTCAATACCTTTCCATATTTCTCTGCATCTGGCCACAGAGTTAAAATAATCCTCTGCAGTCTGATTCAATATTATGTGCCAGTTCTGTTAGGGAACACCAAAAATCATCCAAAACTTGTTTGGGATTTGGTTGAAACGTTTTGTGCTAATTCAGGTAATTTTATGTAATGAAGATAGTGCTTTATTGCAGAGACCTCACAACTTATGCCTTCCTTTCATCTCCCTTCCAGTTTATTCCATGCAGATTCTAGAATCATTTTTTTCAATGGCTTTTCTTCAGAGTCTCTACGTTGCATTCTGAATAACACTGAAGGTCTCCAGCCTCCACTAACCTCTTATTACCTGCTTATCCTCATCCACAGATTATTCTATAGTTTATAAGTAAGGTATAGTCAAGGCACTTTGGATTTTTTACCTCTCTGAACATAACCTAACCTTAAAAAAAAAAAAAAAACAAAACCTTCACTCTTGGATCTACTTTATCCTACTACTTCCTCCTACTCCCAAATCTTCCTCTATCCTGTTTAGTTGTTTGTGCAAGTACTTACCAGATTTCATCCTAATTATTTCATCCATATAATTATTTCATCCTAATTATTTAGTGTCTTCCCTGCTAGTACTGTGCCTTCCAAGAAGTAAAACTCAAATTGGGTTGAGATCCTGTCACTATCCTTAATCCTGTCACTGATGAGGTTGACATTTTCTTAGTCTTGAGTTTTCTCTACATTTACCCAAGAGTAATCCTGCCAATTATTATGTAGCTTTATTGTAATTTTAGAAATGCTATGGCAACAATTAGATAACTGCAAATAGAAATGCATGTAGCAACAATTGCCATTTGCTTAGCTAAAGTATTTTGGGTCTGCCAACTACAGAACATTAGTAAACAGGCATTTTTATGTACTGTTTCAGCATGGATTGCCAATAATAAGTAATTCTAAGACTTTAAAAATTTAAAGCAAATATTTTTAATATTTAAGCTAATTCTAAATAATAGAAACATCCATGCATAGAGAAATTTTTTTTAACTGGAGAAAATCATAACACAACCTTTATCGTTTGTGTATTCTCTCATATATATTTTTTAAGTAGTTAAAAACATAGCATAAATTCAACTTTTATTCTTTCTTTTTCCATATTGTAGCCTTTCCAAAAAATATTTTATAACTTCTAATTTTTCATTACTGTAAAAAATATTATGAGGAAAATATTCATGCACAGAGCTTCCTTTCCATATTTTTTAATTATTTAGAATAGAGAGAATACCCAAACTGTATAAATGTATACTGTTATTGATACATATTGCCAAGTGGTTTTTCAAAGGGCTGCACCCATTTCCCTGTACCACTAACAACACCGTATGAGTGTATGACTATTTGGCTTCTGATCAACAGATGTAAGCAGGTGCTTCACATACACTACGGGATTCAATTAGAAGAAAATTTTCATTTTGTAACCTGAGCAATAGCCTTATAATAACTAGGCTTTGTGTTACTGCTCGTTGAAATTAAAACCTAGCAAAATCAGTTGGTTTCTGGAACTCTTTAAGAACTCTAAGGTTCAAGGGTTTCTTGAACTTTTTGTGTGTGATGTAGGATCATGTTTAAGGTAATATATAGAAAAGGGAAATCCTGCCTACATAATATAAGAGTAAAAAATGACTAGGCCCCAGAACCTATGAAGTAGGGACAGACAATATAGTCTCTGTACCCAAAAGACATTTGAACTGAGGAGGTTCCACCTATAAATCTTTAATTCATCACCACAAAGGGTCAGTTGAGTGTGATTTCTCAGAAATTTGCTACTAAGGTATAGTTAATTTCAGGGACAACCAGAATTACTTTATCCATCAACATATTTCTACCCCTGAAATAGTTTTATAATAATTATGTTAAAAGAGCAGGAGTCAACAGAATACATACTGTTAACTTCCACAATTGAAGAGGCCTAAACGAACCAACTCCATGATTCCCTCATGGATGGAATACTTTTTTTTTAATGGACGGAATACTTTATAGACAGATGGTTAGATAATTAAAACCAAACTGGATTCAAGATCATTAGAGGTCAGACTATTAGGTGAGAAAGTAGCTAGTTTCCCAGAAGAGGCTTTAATCTCATTACAAATTATCAGAAAATTGCTTAAGCATTTTATCAGGAAAGCATATTTCTTCCCAGAAGGAAATTCTGCCCCGGGTTTCCACCAATTTTTCTTTATCACAATCCAATTTGATATTCAAAACTCAGAAGTACATTTATCATTAAAGTCACTTCCCTCAGGGCACCTGGGTGGCTTAGTCAGTTAAGTGTATGCCTTTGGCTCAGGTCATGATCCCAGGATGCTGAGATCTAGCCGCATGTTGGGGCTCCCTGCTCAGCCAGGAGCCTACTTCTCTGTCTCCCTCTGCCTGCCTCTCCCCCTGTTTGTGTTCTCTGCCTCTGTCAAATAAATAACATCCTTTAAAAAAAAACAAAACAAAAAAGTCACTTCCCTCTCCTAGCTTGGTATTGCTAGAGAGGGGAGAGGACATGGTTGCTACTTCCCTACCTCAGTTTCTCCCTGCCCGCATGAGAATTGGATAAAAGTCATACTTCCGGAATCTAGTTTGGGCTCTTCAGGTTTGGTAGATACTCAAAACCGATTAGTTCTTGTGAAGGAACCTTTCTGGGGTGATTCAGAGCTTTTCCCCCCACCAGAAATTCCCAACTTTTATTCTCCTGATGGACAACGCCTATACTTTGGACGTGCATACACACCCCATCCCAACTTCTGTATTGAATGCTACACCTCCAACCCCTTTCTGCTGGATGACTAGCCCTCAGCAAGAAGAATGCATGGGTGGGATCCCTTCTAACATGAACACAGGACCAGATCCCTCCTTCCTGTCACATCTAATTGTGGGGCTCCTATCTCTGCCCTACCACTGAGAAGTTGCAGTTTGCTCTGAATTTGAACGCCTCTTTCTGCTGTCTTGGCAGGCATCAGACAGATCATCTCCAGCCACAGCCTCTTCTCTTTACCTTCCTCAGGTATGAACCAAATACCAGTCCCTTCTAGCTCCAAGGAGTAAATGACAAGCTCTCAAAAAAAGGGGGGTTCTTTTAAAGACCCTCTCAAGTGGGTACGTGGTGAATGGAAAACACCTGATTTCTCTCTCCCATAGTGGGAAGGGGGAGAAGGGAAAACCACAGCTCTCCAACCACTTCTCCTGGAAGAAATCCTCTCATGAGCCTGAGGTGGGTATTGGACTAAGGATCTTAAAGCCAGTTTTAAAACGCCCCTTTTGCGTGACATGGTGGTGCAGTACCTCACCTTGAAATGAGGTGTAGCTATTGTTTTCAGTCTTAGGTCTCAGCTAAAACTGAGGCCAAAAGTCCTACTTTTCAAATCAACAGAATTCAATATATAAACCCTGTTTGGATCCTGATTTGAAATTAGGAGTCAACCAGATATTTTTGAGACCATTGGGGAAACTGAACACAGGTTGACTATTAGATATTACAGCATTACCGGGGCGCCTGGGTGGCTTAGTGGGTTAAGCCTCTGCCTTCGGCTCAGGTCATGATCTCAGGGTTCTGGGATTGAGTCCCGCATTGGGTTCTCTGCTTAGCAGGGAGCTGCTTCTCCCTCTCTCTCTGCCTGCCTCTTTGCCTACTTGTGATCTGTGTCTGTCAAATAAATAAATAAAATCTTTTTTAAAATAAATAATAAATATTACAGCATTACCTTTGTTAATATAATCATGACTTATAATTTTGTGGTTGTAATTTTTTTAAAGGCCTTACAAAGTAGACGTGTACACTGAAATATGGAAGGGTGCTGTGAAATGATATTTGGGACTTGCTTTTAAACCCTCTGGCATTGTTGTAGGACAATGTAGATAGAAGAAACTTAGTAAGTTGGTGATAGTTATTGCAGGTAAGTCGTAAGTACATGGGGATTGGATTCACTATACTATTCTCTAATTTTGTTAATGTATTTGAAATGTTTATGTAAAGTTTTAAAATAAAATTTAGGGGTACCTGGGTAGCTCAGTCGGTTGAGCATCTAGCTCTTGATTTCAGCTCAGGTCATGATCTCAAGGTCCTGACATGGAACCTACTTTGGGCTCCATGCTCAGCAGGGAGTCTGCTGCTCTTTCTTCCTCTGCCCCCCACCCCCTGCCCCGCATGCTCGCTCACTCTCTCCCTCTCTCTCTTTCAAATATTTTTCAAAATTTTTTACTTTAAAGATGAGAGAGAAGAGAGAGAGATAGGGGAGGGCCAGCAGGAGAGGGAAAAGTGGACTCCCCATTGAGCAGGGTCCCCACT